ATATTGAAAAAATACAGTTATATACATATCTAAAAAATTATAAAATAAAGAAAAATTTTTAATTTTTCTTCACATCTTCTATACAAAGTTCAAAGACTTAATTCGAAAAACAAATTTCTTTTTAGATATGTATGTACTATTTATTATAATATGGCAAAACCAAACAATAATATTTCAACTTTCAATCAAAATTGACATTTTCAAAAAAAAAAAATTAATTTTAGGAAGTTGAAAAAGATCATGATTTTTGTGAAACATAATGTTTAAATCAGCTTTTATCAAATATTAATAAATATTAAAAAAGATGTTTAGATTTCATATTTCAGATTCAAGTTTTTAAAAATTATGATGCATATTGTTCCAAATGAGCGATAAACATTTTGCATGGAAAATATTAAAAAATAGAAAAGTGTCATTTTGTTTTCAGAACATAAAATTATATAAATAATAACAAAAAATTAAAAATTCTACAAATAAATAAATTTTTAGCGACAAAACGATTTCATTTAATTGGCTTCTAAAATGACATTTTCTTATCTAACAAAATGAATAAGTACTTTATTTTAATTAATATTTGTATACATAATTTAATTATTATTTGTATATATAATAATAATATTTGTATAAATATATAATATCCTACAACATTAGCTACTTTAATTTTAATATGAAACTCTATAAATTTCTGATAGACACTAATAAATTAATCAATTTTCCTCAATGGAAATATCTCAATGGAAAACTCTTAATAATATTTAAGTTACTAGCAATTGAAAAATATTTTCGGTTAATTAAAGGAGGCAGATAACGAAATCTTGAAAATAATCTTGAGTTAATAAATTTTAATAAAATTTCAATTCAAAACTTAGTTGTAAAGACACATGACGACAAATAAAAAATTATGATAAATAACGATTTTGCTTGACATTTTTACTTGACATTTTAAGAAAAAAATCGATTCCACATTTATAAGAGAATCTATAATTAAAATTTCAAATGTGGTATAATGCACGCGTATTTTATATACACACGTAAATGGGCACGTTAAATTTGGAAATTGAAAAATTAATACAAATAGAGAAAAGTTAGATAGCTAAATTATCATTTCTCAGGAAAAATCCTTAAAAAAAGTTTTGCAATTAGAAAACTACGACTGAAAGATATATCGGAATGGTACTTAAGACCACTTAGCCATTTAACACTTGAACTCTGATCATGCAGTAAATCCACATTGAGCAGAACCGCTTAAGTGACATCGTAATAAGCTGTCATTACATATTATTGCCCTTGTCATCCTATTGTACCGATTACTTGCGGCAGTTATACGTCTCAATTTCTGCTTTGATTTTATTGCAAAAGAATTTTTCGCAAACAGCCCGTCTGATATTTATTTATTTATGATGTAAGAGTATTGTAAAGTAATTGTATTAAAAAGTATTATAAAAGAATCTTCCGCAAACAGCCAGCCATTGCCTGATATTTTACAACGCATTTGAAATGATCTCATATACGGGATACTCGCAGTGTCAAAAAAAGGAAGTGACAACTATCTTATCGACAACGTGCATTCAGAAAGAAAAAGTTGTAGATAAATATGTAACATTGGTCAAATAAATATCCTTAAAAAAACCTAATGACGAAATATACGCAGTCAGATATTTATATATATTTTTAACACGGCGTTAAAAAAAAGCAGCTTTGCAACTCTCTTTGTTTAATAAATTCTTTAATTAATTTAGGCCCGATTAGGCCCGACGACACCAACGTTACTTTGACTTTAAGCGAGGCTTAAAACTCTCTCTCTTTTTCTTTCTAAAGCCGAGAGGGATACCGAAGAAGACAGTTTTAAGCCTCGCTTAAAGTTGAAATTAATGTTGGTGCAATCGGCCTTGTACATTTAAATCCAATGAGGAACTAAACAAAAACCAAATGATATCAAAGAATTTTACAATTGCTTTTTCTGCTAAATGCAGTCTTTATGCTTTTTTGTCAACAATAAAGTAAAAGTCTAAAAAAATAATAATAGTAATAATAATAGTAATAA